TTGACTGAACCATTTTACATCCCATTCAGGTAATCTTGATTTTAATTGGCTCATGTGCATTAGTCATGAGTAACTGACCTTCTTGACAGCTTTGCACAAATAGCATCTAATTTTCAGATGGGGGGGGGGGGGGTTGTTTTGTCTTTAGTCTTTATTTACCCCAAGATCGATGCTGCAGAGATTGATCTCCAGATGTTTGACTTAGTGGTTCTAGTAAGCCCTGTGTGAATACAAAAAAGTGGATCTGCATCCACCATGATCCAGATTTTACTTGTTTCCACACAAGAAATCCAGAGAGAAGGGGAAGGAGCACAGATGAGCAAAGAGGTGGCAGGCAGCAGCAGGGTGTGTGTGTGTTTAAGTAGGGGGTGGGTTGTCACACTTTCTATTTTATTATTAGTCTCTCGAGTGCTGCAGTTCCTGATCCTAGATACAGAAAGAGTGCAAGGAGGGGGGGGGGGAACGGGACCCAGAGCTACCAGTTGTATTTCCACACCTGTGGAAGCTGTTGTCGGTTTCAACAGTGTGTTGGGAGCTCCACAGGTCATTGCTCACCAGGTGGAGGGGGGGATGTGAGGAGGAAGGGAAGGGGAGAGTCTCTCCTGTCTACCTCCTGAAGTGGGGGTACTTCAGAAATCCGAGGTACATCTACTTCATTCTTGTAACTGGAGTTGTCTTTCCTAGGTCAGTTTTTCTCCCCTAGCACAGGCCTGGACTAAGGCCTTGTTTACACTAAAAGGGAGATCACTGCTGCTGCAGATCACTGCTGCTGCAATCTATCTTCCAAAATTCAATGTAGTGAGTCTAGTTTGACTCATGAAATCAAATGTTGGAAGAGACAGTCTAGTTAAGACTTGCTAAATCAAACTCAGAGGGTGCCCTTGCCAGCATCCAGTACTCCTCCTTTTGCAAGGAGTAAGGGAAGCTGACGAGCATTTGCTCCTGCTGGCCTCCCACTGTGGGATTGCCACCAAGCTCAGCTTAAGGTAAACTGACTGCAGTTACTTATTCTATGTAGCTGGAGTTGAGTACCATACATGCTTGAAAGGGCATCTGCAACTCCTTAATGTTAAAAATCATAGCTGTTCCTGGATATTTGGGTAGCACCTGTAGCCAAAGCTTTCCACCTGCTTGAAAGGTAACGTCTGTTGCCAGATCCTTGCACATTTTTTTCAATGCAGAGATTAGATTCCAATACCCTGTACATGGAAGGAGCAGACCACAAAGTATAAAAACATGCAGTATTCACTTCAGCAGAATTTCATGCAGAGACCTTATTCCCATGCACAATCTGGAATGGTTTCCAATTGGTGTCAAATGATGCAGCCAATGGAGGTGATTGAGCTAACAGGCTTGGACTTGGTTTGTTAGGTGCCTTTAGGGCCCATTGTAGATAAGGATTCAGTACCCAAACTTGAGTGAGGTAAGTTTCACAGAGCCTTTTCCTGAAGGGGGTGTAGAGAGAAGGAAAATGGAATAATTGGCAAAATTTCATTTTCTGGGAACAGCTCCTTTGATCTGCTCCACAGGCTGTTCTAGGAATAGCTATTCAGATTTCAGGCCTCTAGATTTCTTTCTAACAGAGACCCACATCTAGGGTTGCCAGATGGTCTCCCAAAAAATACCAAACATGCTGGCTAAAAATTTGTTGAGCAAAAAAAAAAAAACACTGCCACAAACACACATGCTATGTTTATAATAAAGTTAAGTATTAAACAGTCTTCATCCTACGCCATCTCTATGTAAAGAGGCTTAGAAGTAATTGTGCAAATGTGCATGCTATTTTCATTGTTTTCTATTCCTCTAAGGCTATAGAAGAATTTAGAAGAACACTTTTATCCTGCAACTGAAATGATTCTAGAGAACTCCCAGCACTGACTGTGCCCTGCCCCCCAGCCACTCCCCGCTCCCCTGCTAGGCTTCTGGGCTTCTGATGTGCCCAGAGCGATGATTGTGGCTCCCTTCCCAGCTGGGACTCCCAGGTTGGGAGGCGGGGCCATGATTGGTGCTGGGAGCCTGTGATTGTGCAGAAACCTGGCAGGGGAAGGGGGAGTGGCTGGGAGTCCCAGCAATCACAGGCTCCTAGTGCTGATGGTGGCCCTGCCTTCCAGCAGCTTTCCCCACCCACACTAGGCTTCTCATAGACTCTCAAAGACTTTAAGGGCAGAAGGGACCATTATGATCATCTAGTCTGACCCCCTGCACAGTGCAGACCACAGAATCTCACCCACCCCTCTTACAATAATCCTCTCACCTATATCTCAGATACTGAAGCCTTCAAATACTTTGAAGGCCCCAAGATGCAGAGAATCCTCCAGCTGTGATCTGTTCCCCATGCTACAGAGGAAGGCGAAAAACCTCCAGGGCCTCTGCCAATCTACCCTGGAGGAAAATTCCTTCCCGACCCCAAATATGGCGATCAGCTAAACCCTGAGCATGTGGGCAAGACTCACCAGCCAGACACCCAGAAAGTTCTCTATAGTAACTCTATTGACCTATTTCCCACTTCCCTCTGGTGCGCAGCTGGAAAAATCAGAAGATACTGGACATTGCATGTGTCCAGTATTTTCTGATTTTTTTTTTTTTTACTGGACAGAGCACAAATATTGGACTGTCTGGTAGAATACTGGACACTTGGCACTCTACCCACATCTCTCCTTTCTTCAGATGGGGGAGTTTTAGGCTGTAGTTCACTAATTGCTGTAGGGAAGATCTGTCTACACTTGGTCATTGTTTCTAGAGAAAGCAAATTAATTACCAGTAACCACCCACTCTCTGAATATATTAAATCCTCCTCTCCCTGAAATAGAACGGAAACAAACAAGTAAAATGTGCCAGAAAATCTCAAGGCCCATAAGAGAGATGGGCTGGTTAGTTGTTCCAGTCCTTCTTTCTAGCAAGAACTTTAGGGAAGAGGGACTTAGCTCAAAGATTCCAACCACTTGCTGGATCTGAAAAGTGTTGAAGACCATTTTAAATTCAGCTTTATTACAAAAATTGTGTGTGTGTGTGTGTGGGGTTACCATTTTGAAACATTGTGCATCAGGAATGGTGTTATTCTGGAGCTGTTCACTGCATTTAGACTGTAATCACCCCATGACAGTCTGAAGGAAGGTTCTGAACTTCCATTTTTCTCCTCTTCATGCCCCCTCCCCCTTCTCAATGGAATAGAATAAAATTCTTAGCCCCACAATGATGCATAAAATATTAACTGGTTAAAGTCTTTCAAGTTCCAGTGAATATCCATACTTGTGCCAATTTTGCCTCCGATAGCTATAAAAGTTCAAATTTCTAGCTTCTCTACTGCATAACGTTGTGTAGCTGTTTCAAACGACTTGCTTCAAGAGGAGACCTGTAATGGAACACTATACAGGGCATCCCTGCTATAAGTTGCCCTGGTATATATCTGTTCCTACAAGCGTCAATTACTTTAGTGTGGAACTGATGGTGTGTTAAGTCCCTCCTATTCCCTGCTCCTAAGTCACCTCCAACCCCTCCCATTTCATAGAATCATAGAATACTTGGACTGGAAGGGACCTCAAGAGGTCATAGAGTCCAGACCCCTGCCTTCATGGCAGGACCAAATACTGTCTATACCATCTCTGATAGACATTTATCTAAACTACTCTTAAATATCTCCAGAGATGAAGATTCCACAACCTCCCTGGGCAATTTATTCCAGTGTCTAACCACTCTGACAGTTAGGAACTTTTTCCTAATGTCTAACCTAAACCTCCCTTGCTGCAGTTTAAGCCCATTGCTTCTTGTTCTATCCTCAGAGGCCAGGAAGAACAATTTTTTTCCCTCCTCCTTGTGACACCCTTTTAGATACCTAAAAACCGCTATCATGTCCCCTCTCAGTCTTCTCTTTTCCAAACTAAACCAGCCCAGTTCTTCTTTCACAGATCATGTTCTCTAGACCTTTAATAATTCTTGTTGGTCTTCTCTGGACCTTCTGTAATTTCTGTAATTTCTCCACATCTTTCTTGAAATGTGGTGCCCAGAACAGGACACAATACTCCAACTGAGGCCTAAGCAGTGCAGAGTAGAGCAGAAGAATGGAAGTCGGGTGGGGGGAGAATTCCCCATTTTAAGTTGTTTCGCTATAAGTCCAAGTTTTTTTGGAATGTATCTTGGATTATAGTAAGGACAGCCTGTATCGCACCCATAAGCTTGGGAACCAGTGGTGTAGGGGGTGCTACAGCACTCCTGGCCTAGCATCCAGGGTCCCAGCTGCCAGTCCTGTGTGCTGGGGTCCTGGTTTGAGCCCTGTTCACAGGAAGCCTCTGCTGCCAGCCCCACTCCTGGGGCCCTAGTTGTTGCACCATGTGCTGGAGCTTTTTTCCTGGCTTTAACTGTGGGTGGAGGCTAGACAAAGGCTCAGCACCATTACTCTTAAATGTTCCTGTGCCACTGATGGCACTACACTTGAATTGCCCCAAAATGAGATTAATGCAGGAAACTTCCACTACTCTTTTTTAACATGTAGACTAGCACTAAATAGGCTTTAGTCAAAGAACCAGCTGTATGGATTATGAACGCACATGAACTTCACTTCTGTAGCTTGTGAGACTTTTAAACTCGTTGTGTCTGTTAATCAGTTTGCCCATTGATGATGACCTCCCATGAGCACTCACCCAGAAGTATCTTGTATATTGGTAACTTTTTTTTCCCTCAGGTCACAAATCCCACTTGATCTCAGTAGTGTACACTTTGAGTGTTGCATTATAAGCTTGCTAAATACAGATTCCACTTCTCTTTAGCTAGCCCATTAAATTACAAACAGTTGCAGCACAGACAACAGGAAGCCACATATAATTTCTTCCCTTTTTCCCTGATTGAAAGTTCTGCACAGATGGCATATAGAATAGATTATGGCTAGTAATCCTTTTGTGTCCTAGAAGATTAAGGATATCCTGGTACAGCTGTGGTCAGCTGACTTTTCTTATTTAAATGATTAAAAACGCTGGCTGCAATTCTGCAGAAGACTAAGACGTCCCAGAAGCCAATTCACATTGTGCTGCAAGTGTTTGTTTAGAGAGGGAATGTTCTGTAAAACCTGGCCCAGGTTATAGATTTACAGAAACTTAACCTTGTGCTGTGAGACAACTATGACATGGCTCTCAAGTAATTTATTAAATGTGTACTGTATATGAGTCATATCAACATCGAAAGCCGTACAAAGGAAATAAAATGCAATGTGGGATTACAAAGTGAAGAAGCTGTACAATGCTGAGAATCAGGATGAATGCATCAATGGATCTATGTTAATGAGTAAAAATGCATTTTGAAATTTCTGGGATGGATTGTAGGGATACAGATCTATACGAGGATTATAAATCTCCATTTGACTTCAATACTGGTGTTAACCGGAGTTATCTCTACCTGTCACCTAGTGTAAACATTTCTCCACCTGGATCACCTGTACAGAACAATTTTGGTAACTTTTTAAATATTTTTTGGGGAAGGGGGAGATGGAGAGCAGTGAGTGTGTGCTAACTTCCTTTAATCCATGTAGAAATGATGACTGTTGCTGCAGATGTAATCAAATTCTGAAAAATGAAGGAATTGGTGTTGTGGGAGCCAAATTCTGCTTAAATCCTAACTGGTAGCATTATTGAGTGTTCACCGGTATAAATTAGGACAATTGGGCCAGTTGTTCACAACTTGGGAGACTTCGTAAGATGCAAAAAATTCTATCTTATGGGCTGATCTGCAATATGCATGCTTCATAAAATAAAGCTTGAAATCAATTTTAGTCAAACAAGTTGTCTGTGGTCTGAAGTAGAACAAAATTAAATGAACTGAACACTTAGTATCATTTTTCCAGAAAGGGGATATTTAACTTAGTTTGACAATTGATTAGTTGCATGTGAGTCTTGTATAATAACCCCCTAAGATTTACTTTGGCTTAAAATTGCCAGTACCACAAAATGGTGGAAAACAGACATCAGCTCCTGTTGGTTCTGAGTCAAAGTATTTCCCAGTCTAACAGACCCATCAAGTCTTTGCATTAAAATGTCCACATACCTCCCTGCAAATGCAGCAAACTTTCTTGTGCACAATTGGTCTAGCGCACTGAATACTGGTTTAATGCAGCACATACCAAACAAGCTGCCTTAGTGCCCTTACTCTAAAAATTAAGCCTAATTCATATATGAACTGGCAGTTCCAATTTCTATGTATCACAGATGATATTTTCCAGTTGACACCCTCCTAGTGTCTCTTGCTTCTGTTCCTGTCCCACACTCCCTTTCTTACTCTAGCTGACACATTGCATTCAGCTTGAACCAGAGAGCAAGTAGTGTGAACAAGATGCTGTTTAAGTGGATATATTGTGTGTGTGTGTGTGTGTGTGTGTGTTTAAACAAAATGTAAAAGGATATGCTATCTTCCCCCCCCCCCCCCCCCCCATGGGGACAAAAGTGTTAAACTACAGGGTGCAAAAGACTAAGGCGCTTTTATGATCTGTAGATGGAAGCATAAGGTGTGGAGAAATGGTGGGTATTTCCTCACCAGGCTGACTAGAGCATTAGTAAAATACTTTAAATCAATGTGGAAAATCTGTCCGCTTTCACTTTTCAGTTTAAAGATGTTGGGCAGAGTTGTCCTTGTTCTACAGGAGTCATTTTCATTTTAACTTCAATGTGTGAACTCAAAGGGGAAACTCACTTGATAGACTGTAAATTAGATACTTCAGATTTCTCATTTGTTAATCACAAAGCAAAAATTCTTTGCAGTTAGCCTGTAAGTAGTTACATAAGATTGCTTGCAAGTCAGACTAAGAAAAATCTTTATTGTGCAACTTTCTCTACATTGTTGTTCTTGTTATGTTACTTGCTAGTCAGACTTAATTTCTGTTCGGAGGGCGAAGTTCATGGCAAACATCAAATTTACAATAATAGTAAAACCTACAACCTTTCAACATAAGAACAGCAATACTGGCTTAGACCCAAAGGTCCATTTTAGCTTGGCATCTTGTCTTCTGACACAGACCAATGCCAAGTGCTTAGAGAGAACAGAACAAGCAATAGAGGACCATGTTTCCCTGTTCCCAGAACCAGTGGCTCAGATCATATTGACTGGACAGAAAATTAAGATTTAGGAGTAGAGTGAATATTCAGGTCAACAGGTTTTAACTTGTTTGAGATCATGAATATGTGGGGTATGTGCATAGGGATTTTTTAATAAACTGGATGGTTCTAATAATTCGTGATACTAACAGCAGAGAAGTCTGCAAACAAGATTTCTCAGATTCTTAAGGAGATAGTTTGAGAACTGCTAAGTGCTAACTACCTCTTTAAAAGCCAAGTGCTTTTGCCTCTTGATTTTACAAGCCATTTAGATTTCTGCCTGCTTAACTCCTTTTCTGAGGGGACATCATCTTCGTCTGTGTTTAAAAACGTGATGCTAAAATGAAGAGGTCATTCCTGATCTTTAGATGAACCTGTATGAGGGTTGTAACTGGAATGCTATCATTGGAATTAACCCTCAAATCATGTTAGGACATGCCAATTAGCCAACATACACTGGAAGGCTTATTTAAAAGCATTACACAGGTCTAAATTAAATTTTGGCCATCCTTATTGTATAAAGGTAACTTATCAGACACAAGTTGTGTCTATCAAATTAGCTGACCTTTTCAGAAGTTTATCCTAGTTTCATCCTCTGATTTGCAAGTGTCTTAGAATGAAAACAGTCTAGCTCCTTAGTACTCAGTCCAGATCTGAGTTCTTAGAAAGCTGACGGTATCCTATAATTCCACTGGAGAACTTGTAAAATAAAGAATCTTTCTTACCCCTCCTGCAAAATAAGGGAATTAGATAACTGACTATTGCCTGTAAATTTATTATATGGCAACAACTACTACATTTTGATTCTCAACAGACATGAAATTAGATTTGTCAGGCAATTGCTAGCAACGTCAACATTGTCTACGACTTCAGATGAAAAGCTTTCCACAGGTTACTGGCAAATGAGGTTTTTAAAGCCTTTTGGGACATTCAGATCTACTAGGAAGACTGATTAAAAACCTTGGCTTCGGGGCTAACCTAAGTCATGTGATTTAAATGGGGGAAAAGATTCTGAATAGCAGTCATCTTGCAGTCTCCTGAAAATATTGCACTACAAAATCTGCCTTTGCTGATGAATGGTGCAGAGGTTGAGAACTAAAGACCTATAGAAACTAGGGATGTTAAATATTGGTTAATTGAATAGTTGAATGACCTCATGAGTTCTTATAGTCTATTCTTGTGGACTATTCTGTAGTCCCTGGGAACAGGGCCAGCAGCAGTCCAGGGTACCAGGTGGGGGAGAGTCCATGAGGGGAGCCAGTTTAAAAACCAGCTCCTCTTGTGGACCAGATGTTTGTTGCCCTGTGTTGCTGCCTCTGGTAAAGAGGCAGCAGTGGGGATGGCAGCAGCCCCTATGATGGGGTGTGAGCTCCAGAACCTGGCATGAACCGGAACTGAGCCGGGCTGCTGGCCAGCATGCTAAAAAATTCACTGGGGGGGGAATGTGTGTAGTCTAGCATTAACCTATAAGCTATGTAGGTTATCAGTTAATCAACGACACTATTACAGCCCTAATAGAAACCATCTACAATCTTGACCTGGGTGGTTTCCCGAGTTAAGATTTAGGCATATGTTGACAGGAAGAGGGTTGTGATGCTTATGTTGAATCTATTCCTCAGATACATAGATGTTGCTGACAATATGGGAAATCAGTATTAATAACACATGCCAGAAACATCTAGATTATCTGTGCTTTAGTGACCCACTGGAGAAAAGAAAACTACCAAAACAATGGATCCAGCAAGCATCATTCAGGCCAGGTCTATGCTAGACCTGGAAGGTTGGCTTAAGGTATGCAACTTCAACTATGTAAATAACATAACTGACATTGGCAGACCTTAAGCTGGGTTTGTGAGGAGTACTGGTTCCAGCCAGGGGTGCCCTCAGTGTTTGATTTAATGGGTCTTTACTAGACCTGCTAAATCAAGCAAGGGGAGACGTGGCCTCAGTTGCTCGAAACCCTTCAGGAATAAGGCTTTCAAGCAGACTTGGCCAGCATATTTTGGGGATTGTGTAAAAATGTTACTTTTGGCACTGTAGGAAAAGGAGACTGGATATTCCAGGTTTTGTTTCTGGAGATTGCCTCTTCAGAATTGTATGGGTGAAAATACTGAGATCTGTTTTCTGGAAAGTAGATTACGTGCACTGGCTTATCACAGATCTATCTTGGACACTTTGAGAGATAAGCCATGTGCTTTATCTTGTGAAGTACAAGCTCTTTGGAGCAGGGACTGTTTTATTTACATAGATCCGAGCTCAAGGGAGTCCTGGTCCATGATCACGATTCCTGATTCTCTGGTAATACGAATAAATGAGTGAGGATATGTGGCTTAGCAAGAATGACTTGCCTAACAAGCAGTAACACACACTAAACTGAGTAGCTAGTGAAGTATTAAGGCTGGAATCCATTAGCTTCCAAACTGTGCTTTAATGCTGTGTCCACCAACGTTGAAGCCAAAAACTTGTTAATCAGGCTACATATGATACATATATATGTTTAGTGGGGATCACAGTACATACCAGTACTTACAACATGTTTTGGTCTCAAAATAACTGAGGCTTAGGGCTCATCTTGCTGATCTTTTCCATATGGAATACACTTGGCTTCTTGAGACAAACAAATTCAGCTGTAGGATCTGGACAAGATGACTCTCCTTGCACATGAATAAGTAAGGTTCTGTAGGGTACATGTAAAGTGAAAACAGTGAAGTTGAAGTTTTAGAATGGTCTGGGGTCTAATGACCTTGAGAATAGAATTAATCTTCCTTAGCTGCTGTTGGCCATTCAAAACTAAATATAAAATTCCTCATGTCTGCAGAGGAGATGTTAAATAGTCATCGGGTCTACAGGTCTTTGAATACAAGATGGGTCCTGCCTCTCCCTCCCTCTCCCCTTCCTAAGCCTCACTTAAGAAGGCCAAAGGATAGAACATATTGCTGTTCTCTGATCCTATCTGGTGTGTGGGAGGCTTGGGGTTTTTGTTTTTTTTAAAGAACTTGATTGGTAGTATGAAGGAAAGCAAACCGTGCTCTCCCTTGGCTAGAGTAGGAGACTAGCAACAGACTCAAGTACTTTTTTGGGGGGAGGGGGAGTTTATACCACTACATTCAGAGACCTAAAATAAATCACTCCCACCTCTGCTTTCTTTTCTATCCATCCTACATATGCAAAACCACTTTAGTTGAGAAGGCTGATGTCATACTAGAAGGCCCTTGTATAAGCACCTAAATAGTTGTTCTAGGGTTCTCACTATTTCATTAATACACAAACTCTGGCATTGTCATGTTTATAACAAAAAAAAATCTGTAGACTTGATAGAACCTAATACTTTCACCATCTTTTCTTAGAAAATAGTGTTCTACTAATCTTTCTTCAAGGTTTGCTGAGCTCAGACACAGTACCTGAGGTAGGAGAGGATGCTGCTGCTACTGTGAATACAACAGAAAATCTTTCTGAAGAAGAACAGGAAGAACTAAGAAAAGAACTTGCTAAGGTAAAGAAGAATCTTTATTCAAGTGGTTCTCTTGCTCTTACAAAAACTTTTCAGAAACCAGCAAGTCTAAATTTTGAATATGGCTCTTAGAAGAGAATTGTGGGAGACAATGACCAAAGTGGTCAGCTTTATACGCCCAACACGGGGACCTAATCGACCTTAATTTTTCTTCAAAACTGGTATCTCAAACCTCACTGAAGCCAGCTACAGCTACCAGTGCTCAGCATTACATAACTAGCTTTATTTTTAGTAGATGCCTAAATATAACTTTAAGCATCTGTCTTTAGCTTCCCAGGCTTGAACAGCTTGTCCACTTCCCTGCATTCTTCAACTTCAGAATTAATTGGTAGAACACTCCACCCTGCTAATGTATTTAACTTTTTTGCAGTGTTCAAGTTGTGTACAGTGCATTGCTAATGATTGACAAGGAGACTAATCTTGTTCTCAATTCATACCAGCAGTGAACATTCAGCAAACATGGTTTAAACCAAGTCCTTATAAATAAACCAATGTTTCAGGCTGCTAAAGCCTTTACTTTTAACACTGAGCACTTCTCCTTCCAATTGAAAAAATTGGGCTGCTCAAATAAGACTGCTAGAGCCTCCACAAAGTTCAACTTCAGAACCTTAATTTGGAATATCATGGCTTTAAATGCTTGTTTTACACATCCTAGAGTTGATAAACATAGCTTGCATTCCCCAGCTAGTCATGCGTGTCTCACTTTAGCAGGCCAGATTAGGGAGTGGTATTCATATATAGGCAGACTGGTTGAGCACCTCTCCTGTGAAGATATGGTCTCAATAGAGTGCTTCATGCTGGACATGCAAACCTTGGCATGCTATGTTTGAGAAATGTGATACTATCACATCTATTCTTGAAAACCTTTTCGTTTCCAGGGCTGCTACCCTGCACTTCTTACAAAAGCAGAAATCTTATGCACTGAACAGGTATCGTTCAGGCTTTGCTAGTCCCTCACCATGCTCCAATCCTGACATGCAAGGAGGATCAAGAACTGAAAGTTCCCTTAAGTCAATACTTGATCTCCAAACTGGCTAAAAACTGTCTGGTAGAGAGATTTACTATTAATCTGGATGAGTAGATAAATGAATTCCTATAGCCTATTAATCTCCTAAATCAGTGGTTTTCAAACTTTCTTATGACCCAGTTGAAGAAAACAGATGCTCATGACCCAACATAATTTGATTACAGTGTGGGATTTGAGGTGGGGTTGAGGATGAGAGCTTTGGGTTTAGAGGAAGGCTCCTGCTTTGGGGGTGAGGGAGTCAGGGCTGGGGCAGGAGGGGCTTACCTTCAACAGTTCCTGGTCAGCAGTGCAACAGGGATGCGAAGGTAGGCTTCCTGCTTCACCTGACACCACAGACCATGCTGCACCCTAGAAGCAGCCCGCAGCAGATTCCCAGACAATGGGAGTGCACAGAGCCCTGTGAGCTGTGGTCCCCGTCCCCCCCCAGGAGACAGGGACGCAGCACAGTCTACGGTGCCAGGACAGTGAGGTAGCTTGCCTTAACACCCCCACTAGTAAGCGGATCCTCCTGCAGCAAGGAGACCAGCCCTTGGCATTCCATGACCCAGTACTGGGTTGCAACCCATAGTTTGAAAACCACTGTCCTAAATAATCCAGTCATCCTCCAGAAACACTGAAATAACTGGAGGAGAGAGACTCCCCCCCCCCCCCCCCCACCACCCACTCC